TGTTTCAAAGATTTCAAGCTCTTTCAAATGAATGTTAAGAGTGCATTTCTAAATGATTTTATAAATAAAAAAATGTATTTAGAGCAACATCTCGATTTTGAAAATTCTTAATTTTCAAAACATGTTTATAGATTGACAAAAGCTTTATATGATTTAAAATAAGCACCTAAAGCTTGGTATGAAATCTTGTCAAAGTTTTTAATTGAAAATGATTTCAATAGAGGGAAGGTTGATACTACTACACTTTTTATTAAAACAAAAGTAAAAGACATTCTTATTGTGCAAGTTTATGTTGATGATATTATATTTGGTGTTACTAATGAAGGTCTTTGTCAAGAATTTGCTAAGACTATGTAAGGTGAATTTGAAATGAGCATGATAAGATAGCTTATATTTCTCTTGGGGTTACAAATAAAATAAATAAAAGATGGTACCTTTATCAATCAAGCCAAATATATCAATAACTTGCTCATAAGGTTTGGATTGAAAGAATTAAAGTCTTACTCAACACTTATAAGCACTTCAACAAAACTTGACAAGGATGAAGAAGATAAATATATTGATTTTAAATTATATAGGTCTGTGATTGGTTCATTATTATATCTTACTATAAGTAGACTGAATATAATGTTTAGTATGTGCTTATGTGCTAGATTTTAATCACCTAAAAAATCACATTTACTTGCCGTTAAAAGAATTTTTAGATACCTTAAGGACACTCCTAACTTAGGATTATGGTATCCAAAAGGTTTATCTTTTGCTTTGCCTATATATTTTGATACAAATTTATTGGTTGTAAAATTGATAAAAAGAGTACTATCAGTACTTATCAATTGTTTGGGAATATGCTCTTACCATGGTTTTTTACAAAATAAAATAGTATTGCCCAATCCATAACCGAAGCCGAATATATAGTGGCTGATAGTTGTTGTGCTTAAGTTTTATAGATTAAACAATAATTGGAGGATTTTGGAATTATCATGAACCACATTCCTATTAAATGTTATAATATTGTGCCATTAATCTTACCAAAAATCCAATTCAACATTCAAGAACTAAGCATATTGAAATTAGGCATCATTTCATTAGAGATTATGTTCAAAAGAATGATATTGTGCTTGAATTTATCGATACTTTATATCAATTAGCTGATTGATAGAGATAGATTTTATACAATTAGAGGTGAACTTGGTATGATGATTGATTCTTGAAATGAAATTCTTAATTAATTGATATTTATGCCTTGCTTGAACAAATGTGTATTTATCTTGATATACTTGTTTGTGATTATATTTGTAATTATACGATGCATATTTAAATGGTCATATTGCATGCATTTAAAAAAAAAAAAGAGCTACACATGAACCGATCAATGCTATGAAGGACCAGATCGATTGATTTTTCAACCAATAGCTAAATGGACTTGGGATTTTCTTGAACCAATCAATCTCCTAAAGGACCTGACCAATCAGGTGGGCTGGTAGTTTCAAAACTCATCATTTTGGCTTTTCAAATTCTAGCTTTTCTTTTTCAAAACCCCACACAGAACTCCCTCTTCATCTTCATATTCCATTGCTTCCCTACACCATAATTTTCTCTCTTACAAATTCTCTCAAAACTCATCCTTTTCGATCAAAATTTGTTACAAAAATCTTCAAGTTTTCTTGTTTCCTTGCAAAATCTTCATCTAGTTTCATAGATATCACATCAAAATCATCTTAAAATCACTCTTACCCATTTTTCTCTCTAAAACTTTGATCCCTTTTTTGAACATTCATCATTCACTCAATATTCTTACTTCTCACAAAATTATATCACTTTATATCACCTACATTGTTAGTTTACTTCATCAATTTTATAAAAGCTTACTTATTTTTTCATATCCAATTTTTCCATGGCACCTAAAACCAAAAGACGTGTTGGAAAAAGAAGGAATCCTTGAAAGGAGGCTTCTAGTTCATTAATTAAGCCTTTATTAAATTAGAATTTTATGAATCTTACTGCTAAGGAGAAGTATGAAGCGAATTTTGCTCATAAGGAGGTTAAGCATGGAAAGGTAATATCTCTTGAATTTTTTTAATCTATTAAGTTTCCTTATCTACATGTATTTGCAGATTTTGGCTACATGAATTATCTGTGCATGGATGGGATATTTTATGAGAATTTAGTTAAGATGTTTTATAGTAATGCAACATGTATTGAGATTGAAGGGACTAAAAATAGATATCATCTTGATAGGTTCAAACTTTTGTGATGGGCAAAGAGATTGTGATTAATAAACAATTTTTGGTTAAAATATTTATGCTAGATGATAATGGGGACACAAACACTAGGTGCTAAATGTTGGATTTGGATCAAAGATATCTTTAGGAATAAAAAATTGAAAGTTACTCCTACATAGGCCATTAAACTTTTTATGCATGATATATCGTTGCACCTTATAGTTACCCATGTTTTAGCACCATTTGGCACCAAATATTCAACTATTAGAAAACAAGATTACTAGTGGAAGTATAAGATAAAAAATTAGCAGAAACATAATCTTGTACACTTTATCTTTAATGACATGATGAGATTGGTGCAAAACAGATATTACACTTTGGTTTATGTGTTTGCTATAAGTAATCTATTGAAAACTTTAGGAATTAAAACTAGGAGCGATAGAGATATTATATTTAATGACCCATTTAGGGAGTTCATACTTTGCGTAGTATGAGTTATATACAAAATATAGTTGGTTTGTGAATTAAAAAAAGAGAAATTAGGGTTGTGCAATAATAAGAAGAGCATGATGTTCCAAATGTTCTTAATGTACCTCAAAAAGAACGCTATAGTTCACTATTTGATACTCAAGGTGCACTACAAATTATGATGGTTCAAATGATTAGCTTGCACTCCATGGTTGGAGACATGAACTCAAGGTTTGAAAATTTAGAGTTAAATCAAAATGTCATAACTAAAGAAATTCACCAAATGAGGACTGAGATGAACCAACACTTCCACCATTTCCCTCCTTATCCTTTTCCTGAATAATCCATCTAGATACCATGCTTTAGATGTTTTCCTACATATCTATCTTTTTAAGTTTTAATTTTCTTAAAGACACTTTGCGTTATGTTTTAAACATTGGTATTTGATGTTTATATTAATGATATATGCATTTCATTTTCATAATGGCGTTTGGAATGTTGTATTGGAGCTAGTTTAAAATTGATGTTATTGAATACTTTGCTATGGCATTGAGTTGTGGAAAACATATATCGAGCTTATTGTTGCCTTGAATTGATTACTATATTACTTTGGTTGTCTTATTCTTTTTGCTATGACAAAAAGGGAGAGAAGTAATGGAAAACAATTTTGGCTAAAGTTGGAAAATATTTGCAAAAAAGAAAAAAGAAAAGTAATCCTTAGGCTTATGTCATTAATGATCTTGATCTTGATATTGATCATATTGCTTATTTGTTTGACGACTTGCATACTTATTATTGGGGGAGTAATCCTAATGGATATATGGATATTGCCTTATCTATTAATGAATCTTGACATTGATGGTTATACTCTTGTTATTAGCTTGTTTAAATTTTTTTATGCTTAAACACTGAGAGAACCTACTTTTCAAATGGAAAAATGTTTTTATATGTTTTAAAACAAAATTTTCATTTGATTTTATCATATTGAAAAATGAGAGATTGTTAGCCTTGAATTCATCGCAGTTTTTGAATTGACAAAATAAAATTTTACTTAGCTTGAATCAAATTTATTTAATCTTAAATTGAATATTTTCTCACCCTTCTATCTTGCCAAAAATACTTTTGAACCAAAACAAAACACATTTGAATCAAATCAAATTTATTTAATCTCAAATCAAGTAATTTCAAAATCTTACAATCATATGAACTACTACTAACACTTGGCGTTACATGATCCATTTTCACCGTTTGAATGAAATTGGTCACATTGATATATAATAAGGAAGTAAAATGAAGGCATTAGATATTGGTAATAAAAAGAAAACTATATGTTAAATTCATGCCAAGAAGATTGAATGAATCAATAAGAAATAAAAGAAATACATGACCATTAAGATAGCATTCAATTAATTGTTGGGAAAAAAAATTCTTATTTTATATCCTGATATCTCCATTATCCCTCCATATTAATCATGCATAAGAATGTAATTGAGCTGAGATTAGAGTCAATACAATGAAAAAATTAAATTCGAATGCAACTCAAAATTCATTATTCAAAATTAGATTCAAGTTTAATCTAATTTTAATTTTTAAATTCAAATTCAACTTAAAATAAAAATTAAATTACTTGAATTCGCTCAATTAAACTTATTCAACTAATAAAAAAATAAACTTAATTCCAATACTCTACTTTAAACTCGATTATTTGTATTCGAACTTGAATCATTATATATATATATATATGAGTAAAATAATAATTTTTTAATTAAATAATAAAATATATATTAAATTATAAAAATTTGATTAAACTCTGTGAATTACCCAAATTAGATATTAAGATACTCAAACTCGATTCGCTCAATAAATCAATTTATTCAAATTCAAATTCAACTCAATAATGATCAAACTCAATTCAAATTTTATCCAAACTAAATCCAAATGACTTCCATTCAATAGTATATTATTTACACCACAATACGTAGGTGGAGTGAAATAATGGGCGACAGAAACATGTAAAATAAAAGGGTTTTTGTAGAAAAAAAATGAAGTAACTTCAACAAAAACAACAAACAGAAGCATAAAAAAACTTAAATTATGTAATTCGTGAGAAGAAAAATGTGGATAAAAAGAGCATTGGAAGAAAAACCAAAGATGAATGTCATTTGTTGAATCAATGGTGGAAATCATTTGAATGTTGACCACAAAAGACTGAATAGTGTCTTAAATGGTTAACATAAATCGTATGAAACCTAAAATCCAGTAAAACAAGCACCAGAAATGCCTATGATTAGCATGTTTGAACAGAAAAAGTAGAAGAATTCATCCCCTAATCTCAACCAAGCACTGATGTTATCATTTTGCTGTAACTGACAACAATCACAAAAAATTTACACAAAATTAGTAGTAGGCTCCAAGTACATAAAGGATAAACACATAATTTCCAGTATCTAAATGTTTCAAGAATCTATAACAAAAATACTATAACTAATTATGAGAAAAACACTTGCATATGAAACCAAAAGCGTTCGATACATTGAACTTACACGCTTCACCATTTTTACTAAATTGTTTTCTTCAAAGAACAGAAACAAGAAAAGTCTAAAATGGGAATAATACCTACTAAAACAGAGGTGGAAAACCTTACTATTCTTAGTTATTCTAAGGCTGCTTAGAGGGGTCTGTCGCAGAAGCTGGGAGATGACTAATGACAATAGGGGGGCGTAGTGCGCGGTGGTTGGCTTCATTCTCTTTGCGTGCCTTAAACATTTCTTCTGTCTCAACCACAACCAACCTTTTCACCTAGACATTAAAACACCTCAATCAAAAACCAGCTTCAAACACCTAAAACTCAGAAAAAAAAAAGAAACAACAGATATCAAATAAAGTGTCTTATACCTGCTGAAGCATTCCCCTGACGGTGGGCGTATTCCACCGCATGACAGTGCGTTTACATTTGCGTAGGCGTAGTGCCTCCAAGGTGCGCCTATGAAGCCTTCTGGTGCCAGGAATTCCCCTCACAAGGGTTATATAAAGGTTAGGGCTCAACGCAATAGGAACACTAGCTTTGAACTTATTGAAAGCACTCATTTCTTCCGCGCTGCACTGAACACTGCCTAAAGCACATCAAACCAACATTAAGACACAACAGAATTGGTAATATCAACAAGTGCAAATAAAAAATGAACATTTTTCAAATGATTTCAATTGGTTTAGAGGTTCGATCTAAATTTTTCTTAACACAAAAAGGGGTTACTTTGATTAAGATACAATCAAATTTGATTATGATATAATTGTCCAATGTCTTTTAAGGTTGCCGAAAGAAACCCAACATTTTTCCAAACAAAACTAAACTGGATATCAAATCGTGACACTTTCGGAAGTCTACAACCCAAAATTAACTTACTTACCTAATTATCCAAATTCGGGGGAAAAAATAAAAGCTTTAAGCAAGTTTCAAGAAGAAAAAAAAAATGAAAAGAAAAGCACATTGGATTAACAAGAAAATTATAATAAAAAAAGAAAGAAACATACTTGCGGTGATCTCTGCTGCAAATGAGATAAGTCTACAGTGGCAACGCCGCGAACCAGAAAAGCGGCGGCCGAGCAAAAGGGACAGTAGTCGAGAGAGGAAAGAGAAAGGTTGTGATATTAAAAATGATTTTGCAAAAACTGAAGCAAAGGTTTTTGGTCTGGTTCCAAAGGGAAGTCTAATCGAAATTTTTTATTTATTAAAAAGCCCATGGCCCATATTTTGTTTTTTTTTTTTTTGGAAAATCAAATTAGAATGTTATGTTTTCCGCTTTGGCGTGGGGTATTTTTGAAAACTATTTATTTATAAATAATTTTAAATTGAATAATATTATAAACAATAATAGTAATAGTTCAATAAAATAATAATAGTAACAATAAAACTAAAATAATTATTTTTAAAAGATTGATTTTTAAGATTAAAAATGATAACATTTAATTTATCAATTAATTATTTTATTTTTCATTTTGACATTTTTTAAAATAATTCGATAAATTTAAACATACATCTAATTAAAAATAAAAATAAAAAAAAGAATGGGCTAAGAAATATTTAAATTGTTACTAGATTGGACTTAAATTTACCAAGCTCAAATTTGATACGGATTGGGCTCCGCATGACTTGCTACAAATTAAATACAATTTACTATAACTAATTGTTGACACTGACATCCACCTGCCTTATAAGTTAACGTGCTAAATATTACCTGATGCTGAAAACACAAATAGAATTGACACAGAAGAAGAGATCTATCAACATGCTCCGGCCATAGAAAAATGCCGGTAAGCTTCCAATACAACTTTATTTTAGTACATAAGAGACTAAAGTTTAAAGAAAATTGGGGAAGAAGAGTTTATCAGTGCTGAAAATTGAATCACAATCTTATTGAAAACCTCCTCTTAAAGAAAGTAAGTGAACCATTCAGGCTAAGTTATGTTTAATTTTACTTCCTCTTAGAAAAACCCCAGTTTTCCAATACAACTTTACTTGCTGATATTTAATTTTACATAAAACAAAAACAAGTTTTATGTGAAATGCAATACTTGTACATAATGTTCCTTGTGTATTAAACAAACAAACAGTAAAAAAAAAAAGTTATGTTTAGTTAAAATTGAGCAAATATTCAGTAACTAACAATGAGTAAATGGTATAAAAGTAGTTTGAATTCACTAACCACAGAAAAATAAATAAATAAAGTAATTCCTACTCAACTATAAACATTTTGTGTAGAGAAAAAATCATGTCTTTTGTTTTATCTATACAATATACAGTTTCATAATGCTCTGTTCTTGAGTCATATATCTTCACACTCAAACAATGTTTAGGGCCAAAAATGGATTGAAGTTAATAACTATCTTCATTTACCAAAAAAATATTATTACAGACGGTCGCAGTTCCTACTCACAATGATATCACAAATAGCATTATGGTGATAGACAAAGAGATCAGCATACTTTCGTTGTCACAAATTAATAAGTACATTACACAACTTTGCGCAATGTTCAAAATCTCATTTCAGGAGCAGAATGACCAAAGGGCATACATAACTTACCAGCAAGGAAAGGTGCTCTGCAGATTAGATGTTTGGGTAGAAAAGGACACTCAAACAGATAACTCAGTTTTAGAGATCAAGATACCATCAGTGTCTGCATAAAGCCACTCCCCATCACAGATTCTAGTCCCAGCAACAGTTATTGGGACATGTTTCTCCCCAATTCCCTTCTTATTTGCCTTCATTGGATGAGAATGAAGAGCTCTCACCCCAATGTCACAACCATTTATCTCATCAACATCCCTTATACAGCCATTAACCACTATTCCGGCCCATCCATTGTTTTGAGCTTGAACTACAGGATTGCCCCCAAGTATGGCACACCTAAAACTACCTCCCCCATCTACAACCAGAACTCTGCCATTACCTTTCTCCTCAAGAAACTCACGAATCAAAACATTGTCTTCATATACTTTGAGTGGAACTATAGGTCCAGAGAAGACCGGGCGACGACCATATATCTGGAATATTGATTGGAAAGCCCGAAGTTCACCGCTTACAATTAGCTGTGGATTTGCATCACAGACTTCAGCAGTTGTAACCAAAGCCATTTATTACAGACACCTTCAAGGCAAGAAAACAATCGAAAAGTATCCAGGGTAAAAAATGAAGATACAATCACATTTTTTCTCAAAATTACTCTGGAATACAAGTTAGCAGACACTAGACAGTTGGATTGTTTCATCATTGTTAGCTAAAAGCAAAAAGCATTTAAAACTAGTAATAACACTAAAAGGCAATTTTGAAGCAAATGCTTTCCTAATTATCAAAGAAAAATAACTGTTAAATACAAATGAAAGAAAATAAGCCCACAAACTCCTATCGTGAGAATCAGGAGCTTATTGATTTGACATGTATCTTGAAACAGAAAAAAAAAAAAAAAAAAAAGAAAGAAAGAAAGAAAACTTCCTAGTGATACCATGATACTTACAGGTTCAAAAGAGCTTAACTCTCAAGCACACATCATCTTGGCAGAACAATTAAATTTAGATTGGAAGCATCAAACGGATGAAATCACAAATGTCAATCATAAACATAAAAAAGATGATCTTTTGAGAAAGGACGAAACAGAATAACCTACTCATAATCAACTTCTACTGTCATGGCAATTAGAAAGTTCTCCAAGATCTAAGCGAAACCAAGAATCAAACAGAACATTGCTAAAGTTGAAACATTGAAATTCAACAAATCAAAATCAAAACACATCCTCACATAACTAAACGGGCGAAAAACAAAGCAAAACCCACGAACAAATGCGGAGAAAGAAAATTGAAGCAGCAAAAGAAAGATCTTAAGAACCAATATTTGGAACAAATTATAAGAAACCAATTCAAAATCTTCAAACACAAGAAACCCATTACATATTTAATAACTTTAAATGTTCCCATCTATTAATATTCTTCAAATTTTTAATCAAACCTTTATAATCTCTATCCCATTATTCTAAACTCTTTTAATTTTCATAATCTTTTGCTTATTCAAAACAGATATTCAACAAATGTATACATGCTAAAATGGTGAAAGTTTTAATCTATATAAGCAGATCAAATAACCCAATTGAAAAGATCGATTATTTTTATATATTAAGATAAAATCAACACAAAACAAACAAGAATATATAAATATATATATATGCATCTAAAATCAGAGAATTAAAAATGGGAAAAATCGAAGGGGTAAAATTTTACCTTGGAATGGAGCCTCCTCAAAGAAGGAATCAAAGAAGATGCAAAGTGAAAGTTCAAACAGAAAGACAGAGAGTTCATGGTTTTTAAGGTAGGAAAGAGAATCTGAGCTTAGCTTGAAATCGCGTGGGTGTTTTTTTTTTTTTTTCCTTATAATTTTTCTGAATAATATTTTCCATTCCACTACTGGCACACTCCCGTTCGCCATCATTATGTGATAAATATGGCAAATGGCTGGATCGGGCTAGATTTAAGTTAGATTACATCCGGTCGAATTATTTTGGATAAAAAAATGAAATGCTTTAGAGTGGATAAAATTAAACTCCAGTTTGAGAAAAAAAATATTTTGAATAAAAAATTAAATTATTTTAAGTTGGATTAATTTAAATTTGAATCAATTTAAATTTAAATTATTTTAAGTTTAAATCAATTTAACTTTGAATATTTTTATCTTGACCCACAAATCATTTCATATATATATATATATATTTAAAATGATTTCTTAGATTTATTATGTAAATTTGTAATTTAATTACCTTCGCTTAGGATTATTTTGATTATGCGTGGTATTATTATGTTTGTTTGGTGTAAGATATTTCATCCTATTTCATTATTATTGGTTTGTCTTGATAGTTAATATGTAAGAATTAGGGATGTTAATAGGTATGATATAGATAAAGGAGAAAATTCATCATTTCATTTTTAAAATTTTATATTGCATTCATTTTCATAATTATATCTAATGAATATTTTAAATTTATTATATTTTTATTCTGACGAATAGTTAATGGGTATGAATAATTCTTATACCTATAGCTTAAAAAAATTAAAAATTAAAATTTTTTTATTTTTTTATTTTTGTCTTGTATATTTAAATATTTTTATAAATATATATTAATATATATTTTTTAATTAAAATATAATAATTTTAATTAATCTAAAATAATAATTTATATTATTTAATAAAAAATCTATATACTAAATATGTATAAATATATATGTAAGATACCAATATAAGACAGGTGCTATATTACATATTTATATTCTCGTACTCAATAAAAATTTAAAATCATACTCATTTTCATATCTATACTTATAATATAATAAACATCTTCTTTCTTATCGGATAAAAATTTAAAATTCTCGTTAGATACGAATAAAATTAACATTTCTGTTGAGTATCATTTCATATATATATATATATATATATAATTTTAAAATGATTTCTTTTATTTAATATTTAATATTTACAATTTAATTATCTTCGCTTAAGATCATTTTGCATGATATTATTATGTTTGTTTGGTTTAGGATATTTCATCCTATTTCATTATTATTGGTTTGTCTTGATAGTTAATATGCAATAAAAATTAGTTATTATTATTTTTATTTTAAAATTATAATTATAATTAAATATTATATTTATATAATTAATTAAAAATTTTAATATTAAATTATAATTAAATTAAAATCATTGAATGGACAATTAACAAACTAAAAAATAACTTTTAATTACGTTTGTGTAATTAAAATTTTATTTTAATAGCATATTAAATATTAATTCTAAATAATATATTGCTAATACAAATGGCAATTTTTTTTTAACTTTTTGCTGAAAACAAATATATATATAATGACAAAATTCAATAAAATTAAATTATAATGACGAAATTCAAAATAATTTGAATTATAAAGACAATAGAGTATTGAAAAGTAATATCACGGCTAACTGTACCCTTTTTCATTTGTGTAAGAATAAAAAATCCAACATTGATCCACAGTAAACGACAAATTTTGTCTTAATCTCTTTTTGTTAAAGGAAATTAATTTTATTACGTTTAAAATCAAATTGAGGACAAATTTTCCAAATGATTTAGCATTATTTGATAAAAGTATATTACTATAATCTTGGTACATTAATAAAAATAAATATTTTTATTTTTTTTCACATTTTTTACAATATATTTTTACAATGTGTCACATTCCAAATAAATGTTTGACGAACTCTTTGCTTACAATGTGTTGCATTTTTTTTACCATTTTTATTTAATTAATATTATATATTATTTATAACCTATAACTATTATTAAAATTAATTTTAAAATTGGAAGTGTTCATAAGAATTTTAATTTGATAACATTTGTCATCTTTGGATTGGAAGAGGCATAATCTTTGGATTGGATTGTAATTTTAATAAATACATAATAGTTTTTTTAAAAAAATGGTTTTCTGGGTTTTGGACAAAAAGAAATATAGAAAGAAGTGGCAAAGAAAGACACGTAGGCTAAACCTCTACAAAATTTGTCAAAAAATTAAAAATCCATACCAAATACTTACACAAACAAAAAAATAAAAAACCCAAAATATATATAATAATAATAAAAAAAACCACCATCACTATGAACATAACAGTCACTTTCATAATCATGAAAGCCAGAGTCAAAGACATAATCAACAGACATAATCAATAGAAACATATAATCAAGACAAAAATTATAAACTCTAGGGAGGCATTACCAAATCAGACAAAAACTCTAAATTATTAAAATAAAATTAACAGAAAAATAAGAAACTTTTAAGTAATCAATCATATTTAATAAAAAAATTATTAATAATGAGTTTTAATTTTATGTCTAACGATTTAATTTTCAAATTTAAACATTATAATAGAATTTAATTGATGCAAATATAAGACTAGGGTTTAAGCGAAATTTCACGTTATTATTAAACCTAAAAGATGAAATAATAATTAAAGAAAGTTAAAATTCTTTAAAGTGTCCATCCAAATTTGTACAGACTATTAAGATTCAAACTTAAATAATTGAAATTAACAGTTTAATATTTTATTAATAAATTATATGATTGGTGATCATCTCGATTTGTAATATTATTATAATGATTGTACTTTTTTTTAAAGAAAAATTGATTCTCTTTGTTAGACTCAATAAACAGCAAAGAAGAAAAAATAAAAATAAAAGTTAAGCATGCAAAAGTTTGTCTTTCTCCGATATATTTTCCTTTCTTCCATTTTTTTCCCCAAATTGAAATTATCATGCAATCTTGTATGAAACAAGATTGGATCGTCTTCTCCTACTTTGCAAAATTTTTCGTCCCATATATCTGCATCAGAAATTAATAGAAAAACAATTATATCATTGTCAAGGTAAGAAATGATCGATCAAAATACAGAAAATATTGGGAATATTATAGTACCTTCCAAGCATCATAAGTGTAGCCTGAGGATTAATTCCAGGGGAAAACCTAAAGGTAGAAGCATCTATAACCCTGAGGCTATCCACAACAAGGACCTTGTAATCTCGATCAAAAACCTTTCCAACTTGGCAGCGTCCATGGTACTGGTAAAAGGTCATCACGGTGTCCATGCAATACTGTTTCAAGGACATTGTGCAATTAGGATGTTTTGGTCTCAGGTTCACTGGCATGTTCACCATCATCTTTAGCAGATCTTGTGTTGTTGTGTTTCTGTAACGGAATCTCGAGAATGATTTCCAATTTACTACTTTAATAACTGTTTTCATGCCTTGAACACACTTCCTTAAGTTCTTTGGTGCCAGGAAGTAATTGAATCTTACCTTCGGATTGTCACTGGCATTTGTGTTTTGAAGCTCAAGACAACCCTTTGAGATCGGACCATTAGTATCGATAATATCAACGTGATATAGATGATAAAATTATGAGTAATTATGATTAATTGGAGTATGGATTTGGTCTAAGTACTTTGTTCTCCCACTAATGTAAAAGAATTTCAGCCATCCAAAATAAATAAAAAAAAAAAAGAAGGATTAAAAAAATTTTATCATGAAAATATTAAATTATATACTTTTAGAAATATTCGAATATATATAATTCAGTTAAAAATTTCAGAGTTTAATTACTTAATGGAACATGATGAATGTGTTGTAAATTAGAATAAAGAATGATGTAGTTTTGATCTTTACTTCTATGTATTTTATTATTATTATTATTTTTTTTTTGTTTTTATAAAATTGATTTCCTTGCTTTTTAATATAAAAAATCTTTAAAAAATAAAAATTTAACTATATAAAGTAGAGATTTTAAATATTAAAAAAAAGAAAAAAGAAAACACAGTTTTAGATATTAAAAAAAAAGGAAACAAATGGACAGAATGGGTACCATTTTAAGCTAATCCTTCTTATAAAAAATTAGGTAATGAAGGTTGAGCATTATTTGCTATAAATTGAAAAAATCAAACCAATTCGGTTGATTAGGGTTGGATAGGTCTGGTTTTGAAAAGTGAAAATTTTTTGTTTGATTTTAAAGCCAAATCGAATTAATATATATATTTTTTAATTTGGTTTCTTAAAATTTCAGCCAACCAAATTAAACAAGAGGGATTAAATAAACTTTTTAGCTATAATTACGTACCAAATCCATACTTCTAATCTAAGAGGCATTTAATTTGTGAATTTTTAGATTTTGAGAGAGAAAATGATTTAACAATAAATGAAACTGAAGGGAAATATTTGATTTTTAAATTTTATTGACTTAAAAAATATAAGATTTTTATATTTAGTTTAAAAATTATAAAATTATTTAATAAAATTTTTTACTCTATTTTTTTATATAATACATTATATTCATAACAAATTAATAATACATAAAACTCATAATACATGACACATTAATAATATGTTAATAATATGTTATACTCATAATACGTGATACATAAATAATATGTGTGCGTTCATTAAAATTAAAAAATTTTGAAAAATAAATTTTATAATAAATTTGCAAAAAAAAAATCTTAACGTAACTGAAGAATTTGAAAAATAAATAATGGCTTTCCCTAAATTAATCTCCTGATACATCCATAAAGCAAACCATTTTCTCCAATCCTTCAAAGCCCTGCAAAACTTAACCCATGGTGGCGTTGAATTTGTTACCATTTGCCTACATACAGTTAATGCTCCTTTATTTATAGAATCTGCAGGAAAAGAATAGAGAAGAAAGAGTAGAAATGGCAAAGAAAAGGAGAGCAGAAAAGAGAAGAAGATGATCAAAGAATTTTTTTGTTTGTTTTTATTGCATGAGCGTGCTAAATAGCAAGCTGTCAGTTAGCACAAATAACGATTTCTCAGCAACTATCTGACTATTGGTTTTAGTTACCTAAGATCATTTTTGTTTGTAACTTCTCAAGCATTTTGACTTTTATTCTATTATATAAAAATCTTTGATTCAAGCAGAACTCTTCTGCCATGTTAGGAGCCTTGTCGTCTGGGTTGGTAAGGCCCATGCCTCTGACTTAGGTTCGTATCATTTTTCTACTTCAATTATTTGACAGATATATTGAGCACCAAAAGTGGTAAAAGTTTTAACAGGTCATAGAATAAAAAGCCATGCTCTAAGGCCCAACTTTGATCTCAAATATATAAAAGACTTGCGTAAGGTCAATAGCAGTCTGCTCAACATTTTTTTATTTTTTTATTTTATTTTTTTAATCTAAAAGATTTTTTTTAGTAGAAAAAGTAGTTTTTATACTGAATATTACATTTTTTTCAAAAAAATTTTATCTTTCTTTTTTACTTTTTTAATTTAATAAATAATGAAAATTATATCTATTTTGTAATTTTAAAAAATTAAAAAGGAGAATATAATTTGAAAATGTAATTCAATGAGGATAAATGAAAAAAAAATTTTCACTTTCGGCACGAAATCTAAAAACACTCGAGATAGGATAATGTCATCATAATGACCAAATAACCCTTTAACTGTTATAAAATTTTTAGTTATTTCCTTACTCTTTTATCTGAATTAAATCAAGCCCTTGACTTATTATTTGATATGTCAAATGAATTATATTTGAATGAAAAATGATAATGTGGCTATTAACATGACTTAATATTCCAACACATATGAGTTAATTGAGCCTTTAGTTATGTAAGCATTTTCCATCCAAATCGGATTCATTTGATATCAAATATAATAGTTTGACAGCTTAATTGATACAAGTAAAAGACTAGGGTTTAAGTGAAAATTTATGTTGTTATATATTAAACTAAAAAATTGAAATAGTAATTAAAGAAAGCTGAATTTTTTAGAGAATCCGTCAGAATTTATAATATTATTATGATAATTTTACTACTTTTTAAAAAGAGATATTGGTCCTTGAACTTATTATAATAGTGTGTATCTCCTCTTTATTAGACACACACACACACACACAAAAAAATGAAATTGAAGTTCAGCACGCAAAAGTTTATTTGCGTTTGTCGTCTGACTTATTTTACTTCCAGTTCTTTTTCCCCAAACAGAAATTTTCATGCAAGCTTGCGTGAAACAAGATTGGATCATCTTCTAGTTTGCAAAATTCTTTGCCCCATATATCTGCATCAGAAATTAATAGAAAAACAATTATATCATTGTCAATGTAAGAAATGATTGATCTATCTACAGAAAAATTTGGGAATACTATAGTACCTTCCAAGCATCATAAGCGTGGCCTGAGGATTAGTTCCAGGGGAGAAACTGAAGGTAGAAGCATCTATAACCCTGAGGCTATCCACACCAAGGACCTTGTAATCTCGATCAACAACCTTTCCAACTTGGCAACCTCCATGGTAATGCCACTGTGTCATCACGGTGTCATTGCAATATTGTTCCAAGGACATTGCCGAATTAGGGTGTTTTGGTCTCAGGTTCACTGGCATGTTCACCATCATCTTTAGCAGATCTTGTGTGGTTGTGTTTCTATAACGGAACCTCGAGAATGATTTGGAATTTACTACGTTTATAAGGGTTTTCACGCCTTGGACACACTTCCTTAAGTCCTCGGGTGCCTGGAAGTAATTGAATCTTACCTTCGGATTGTCACTGGCATTTGTGTTTTGAAGCTCAAGATAACCCTTTGAGATTGGACCATTAACCATCTCTACTATAAATCCAAGATTTGTTGTTGAATTAGCCACTTCTTGTTCGAATGCCATAGAGTTTTTTCCTGTCTGAAAATACAGCCCAAATCAAACCTTTTATTTTATGAAATTATACGTATAAACATAAATTCAATCATAATCAAATAATTTTTAATATAAATGCAAAGGAAAAATAAACAATAAACAAATCAAATTAATCAGCAAATTAATATAATTAGACGAAATTCATATATTATGAGACTCAAACTTAAATTTAATTTTAGATCTTTTTTTGAGACAATAAAATCTCTCAAAATCATTTAAATAAATTAACATAGAAATATAATTAATAACAAATACTATGTAGCATTAAGTGTCAATAAGAATGTTTCAAATTGTGAAATAGAATAAGAATAATAATTTCAATTGTGTGATCCAAAATTACATATGAAAAAAATATAAAAAAACAATCAGTTTATGTGTGAGAGAGAGAGTATAGTAAAAGGTAAAAACCAGATTTGCAATTGTGGTGAAGTCGTCGGCTAGCCTCTGAGTTCCAGAAACAGAAAGGGCAGAAAAATCAAACCCACTGATTGATTCTAGATAGCTACCGAAATTGGTGATACCCACAATTTTAGTGAGTGAGAGCTCAATGGGCAGTGGAGAAGGAATTATAAGACCGTTTAATGGATTATCAGCCATCTCTTGGCCCACCATGGGCTGATTCAGCACCACCTTGATACCCAGTCCCTGGAGCCGAGCTGCAGGACCAATTCCACTCAGCAATAGTAATTGTGGACTTCCAATTGCACCTGCCGACAAAATTATCTCATTCCTCGAGTCATTTTTCAAGAATGCCATGTGCTTTACTCCATTTGCATCGTAAAAGATCACCCCCTCAGCTTTTGGTCTCGATCCAACTGCCATAACAGTATATTTTATTTGAATGGAACAGAAATTAATGAATCATAACTCAATGGAAGGTTAGAACATGGATTCTGAGTTGTATTGGCAATTTGAAAATAAAGGTTGTATGAACCTAAATTTTGAGCCAAACTCTATTTTTATACCTTTTATCATTGTCGTCGTAAATATGATCTTTTGTACAACAGCATGCAAGTAAACTTTAATCCTCCTTGGATTAGCATATTCAAGCAAATCAGCAGCAGTATGTCTATTTCCATTTCCATCCAAAATAGTTCCACCAGTTTTAGTTCCATTAATATTGTCATACGTAAACCCATTATCAGGCAAAACCCCAACTTCAAGCAACCCGTTTCTCACTGCCGATTGCCATTGCAACACAACTGGCTTGTATACCAACTTGTTTTCAACCCACTTGTAAGACTCATTGGCTAATGTTTCATCCAAGCCCGTTTGCTTTAGGAAGAATGTTTCGGCACGTGAGTAAAACCCCACGTTAATGACTGTTCCTCCACCGAGAACGCGTGCTCGGTTGTTGGAAACCCCATCCTCGGAGATGAAAGCTTGAGAGAATGAATCGGGAGAGGTGTCTGTAAGAGTAGGGAAAAAGTTTTCTGCCCTTATTTTAGTCGTGTTGACATATGGAGATCCCCCTCTTTCCAAGACTAGAACGTTTGCGTCTCGTGTTGAAAGGGTTGCGGCCAAAGGGCAGCCAGCGGTTCCTCCTCCAATGATTATGTAGTCATAGAATGAGAATGCCGGAGCCGAGGTTGCTTCTTGGATAAAGCTGAAATTAGGAGCTGTAAATGCATATTATTATTTTGATTATTTCCATCACTAATGCAACGTTATAAATATTTAAAATTTGAGATTTTTACTAGGTATACGTGAGAAAGAGATTAATTCCGTGCAAAATCATGGAAAGAGATCAAATACCTTTTTCTGCATAACTAAGGCCATGGAAAGCCAATTCAGCTACAAAAACAATTGCAAGAAAACTCCATTTGGAGCAGCTGCAAATGTACTTCAAACCCATATTTTTCCTATAACTTCTGCTTCAAAGAGCTTATGGCACTAGAAATATTTAATCTATTTTCTCCCTAAATATCCAAGATCTACCATATAGGGCGTTCTTTGCAATTACTATAAGCCTACTCTTCAGCCATATTCAATGCATTGAAAAATAATTTTTATTTTTTAATAGCATGCTTAATATGCGCATTTAGGTTATGTTTAATGCATAGAATGATAAGTAGAATAATATAATAATTATTTTATATTATATTTGATTTATATCTAATTGAAAATGATAAGATTATAAGAAAGATTATTTTTTTAGTATAGGATAATTCAATCTTCTCAAAGTGAAGAGAATTATTTTAATTATATATTTTATTATATTCTTAAAAATTATATAAATAATTTAAATTTTATAAATTTTGAAAAACGATAATTTTAACTAATAAATAAATTATTATATCTTAATCTTTACACACATCAAATATATAATAAGATGACATTAATTGTTTGATCTAATCTTATTTATAACGTCATCATATTCTATCCTATCATAAGTTTTTATACTAAATATGACCTTAAAACTTATTAGACAGCTAGCTAAAAAACAAAAAGACATTGACTTTTTGTGCTCCCCTTCGCAACGGCAAATTAAGTTAAAATTTTGTATTTGAGCAAGATAAAATAACATAAATTCTCAATATCCGCATATATATATATAAGAACAAAATAATTAAATTATATATAAAAACTATTTTAAATTTAGAAATTAATTATATGCATTTGCGTAAAATTATGTAAAACAGTATAATTAATATTGATACATAAATGACTAATAAATAAAATAAAGTAAAATTTTAAAAAATATCTTTTTGAGAATTCTAAAAAATTTAAATGATATAGTTATATAAAAAACGAGATTAAAAAATTAATAATGGATAAAAAAGAGAAAATTTATTTTTACAATTGATTTTGTGTATAAAATATGACAAGTCTGTTTAGATGTGTTTGATAATGTGAACATTTATATATTTTTAATACCCTGAATATTAATATTGTTAAATTAATAATAAAATATAAATGTTTAAAGAGTATATCAATTATACTTGTTCTCATGACCTAAATAAGATAAGTTTATAAATAATTACTTTTAATTTAATTTTCTTAATTTTAAATTTAATTCATTATTAGAATTAGAGTAAACCCCATATATGCTCATGTGGTTTATGATTTTCCTACTTAGTCTTTTTTTTTTTTTTAATTTTTTCACTTATAATTTTGCAATTCACTTCGGTTAGTAGAAAAGAATAATGATATAAAAAATAAAGGTGAGAGTAATTTTATAATTTTGTTAAAATCTATTGATTTTTGACACCGTTAACCCTTTTAGAAAAAGAAAATATTAAACCAAAAAGATTATAAGTGAAAAAAAATTTCTTAAGGGTATAAGTGAGAAAGTCAAAAATCATATAGAGTGTATGTGAAGTTTATCCTTAAGAGATGTTGGGCTCGTAGATCTTTAGATTTTGAAAGGGGAAGCAATTTAGGAATAAAGTGATATTAAACAAGAATGTGTGATTCATGAGTTTTGTTAACTCAGAAAATATAAGATTTTTGTATTTGGTTCACGGGAATGTAAGATTAACTAATAAAGTCTTTTATTATATTGTCCATGATAATATTTGAATAATACGTAACATTTATAATACTAATATGTGAATAACATGTAACATATGAATAATACATCTTTGTTGAAACTAAATAATTTTAAAAAATAACTTTTTACATTTTTAACAAATATAATATTATAATTCTAATTACTATCATAACATTATTGTCCATATGTATAAAAAACATACGGATCAACCTTATGTAATAGTATTAAACAAAGATATTCTAGGTTTTATTTTTTTCATCTTTTAGTAAAAGCTAGATTTTTTTATTTTAGAAAAGTCATATTTTCAACAAAAATTACATTTTTATTTTAGAAAGGTCAAAATATGTCATAGGTCCCTGTGCTTTTCAATTTTTAAGAATTTGTCCTATTAGTATTATTTGAAAGAATTTAAGCCTTATAGTATTATTTTTTAAGGATTTCAGTTCAATCATTAACAATACACAAGGACTAAAATCTTTAAAAAATAATACTATAGGGACTAAATTTCTTAAAAATAATATTACAAGAATTAAATTTCTTTAAATAATACTATAAGAACTAAATTTCAAAAAATTGAAGAGTACAAAAACCTATGACACATTTTAACTTTTTAGAAACATTATTTTTATTAAATTCTGAAAAATATATTTTGCATGTTTTCAACAAAAATTATGTTTTTATCTTCGAAACTTTTTCTTTTCAACAAAAACTATTTTTTTTTAATTTTAGAAACATCATCTTTATTGAGTTTTGAAAACTATATTTTTTCATGTTTTTGATAAATACTGTATTTTCTATCTTAAAACGTTGTCTTTGTTGAATTCTAAAAAATATAATTTTTTATGTTTTCAATAAAGATTGCATTTTTATCTTAGAAATATCATCTTTTCAATAAAGACTTTTTTTATTTTAAAAACATCATTTTTGTTAAATTTTGAAAAATATTTTTTTCATTTTTATCTTAGAAATATTATCTTTTTCAACAAAGACCACATTATTTATCTAAAAACATCATCTTTGTTAAATTTTAAAAAATAATGTTTTTTATATTCTTAACAAAGACCATGTTTTTTATTTTAAAAACCTTGTTTTTGTCAAATTATGAAAAATAATTTTTTCATGTTTTCAACAAAAAAATCATGTTTTTAATCATAATTTTTGTGAAAATTTTAATACCACTATGTTAAAAACATTATTTTTGTTTAAAATATATTTAAAAAATTTTCATAATATTTTATAAAAAATGACTACGTTTTTAAGATATATAATGTTGTTTATATAGTTTGAAAATAAAATTAAATGATAGCAATAAGAAAAAATTTTCACTTTCGCTTCGGAATTTTAAAAATTTCAAAGAAATGAGAGTTTTTTTTGTTTTTCTTACTTTTTCATTTCTTGACAATTATTAGGAATCTTAAAAAACTCAGTACTCTTATTCACATGAACTAAATTAAAAATTTAAATTACAAAAAGTAAGATTCAGAAGAAAAAATTAATACTTTCTTCTGAATCAAACACTCATTTAGATTATTATTATTCATAAAAATATGATTATGTTTTATCAATATATATATATATATATCAATATATGAAATAAAAAGATTTTTCCATGCAACAATGCGCAAACAAAATACTAGTACTTGATTAAATAGAGTGCATAAAGAAAATAAATCAAATTCTTTTGGTACGATCTTACTTTTTCTTTTTTCTTTTTTTTCTAGCTTGGATCTCCTAGTAAAGCAAAACTTATCCTAGCTGAGCGCTAGGGGACGGAGGGGGGGAGTGGCTCTTTAGTCTTTTCCGCCTTGTAGCTGCTGCTTGGTTAGGTTGCTTGCTTTAATTTGTTTCAACAAATGGCCAAAATGAAACACATTATGCTTAAAAAGTAATGGCTACGTGGTAATATGATTCATCCAGACGTTAACTTTATATAAATAAAAATAATTAAAACGAACAATATGTCTTAAAAAGAAGAAAAACAAAAAATACAAGAGAGTTACTAATTAAAAAAAATATATGAAAGAGGAGTATTGTAACAATAACTAAAAAAAAAGAAATATATATAAAAGAGAGTTTTGTAACATTTTTTTTAAGTTAATAATTTACCCTTAAATCTTTTTATCTTACTATTTACTTGGACTACGTGTATAAATTTTTTCGAACATACAATTTTCAAATGTTAATTTCAATTACTTACCAATTGATTCAAGGATCAGTCAGCAACAATGTTAATTTCATAGAAACTAAAATCGGCAATAATGTTAATTCCAAAGAAACCAAAACTTTAAAGCAAATAAATAAGTGTTCGGTTCAATTTATAGAAGAAGTTTTTTACAGTAAAAGCATAGACAAGGTGTTTCACCTTCAATTCAAAATTTCCAGTTTGTGCCAAAAAAAAAAAAAAAACCATTAATTGAGCTTTTAGAGGAAATTATAAATCAAAGCTTATTTTAAAAAAAATTTAACAAAAATGCTTACAATTTGGAGAGAAGAAAAAGACTTATAAGTACTAGGATTTGAACCTTCTGATTTTCTAAATGTCATCTGTCATAACGGTTTTGTGTCCGCCCGACGAATTTGAAAACGAAATAAAAAAAATAACAGAGTCGCCTCTAATCTTTTTTTGGCTAGGTGTGATTGACAACCTATTAAAACATATCATTTTAATAAAGTTTTAAAATTTATTAAAATTTATTAAAAAACATAATTTTACGATCTGCGAAACAGTCTGAATTCGGAAGTCGTTACGCGTGGGGAAGGATTAGCACCCCCACAACGTCCGTTAAAAACGGTATCAATTAACAACGTGTTATCCTTTGATTTTGATAAAAATAGTCCAATTTTCGGTGTTCGAAAAATAATTTCTTTGATTTTTTTATTTATTAGAAAAAAATTTATTCTCGAGAAAAATAAATTAAAACATTTTTATTGAAATAATTCTTAAAATGTTCCAGTACGTTGGTAACATTAGAAGAACTTTTTCTTACCTAGAGATTTCTTAGGCATCGTTTCTCGGAATACCTTAGAATCTCATCCTCGAAAGCTCGAATTTATTTTTCGTAAAAAATGTCATGCATGCAATGCAAAATATTATCATGTTTATGCACACATTTTATTCTCCTTTGTTAGAAATTTTATTAACTATTTTATTAATATTCTTATTTAAAAATTTGAAGAAAAATGAAATTTTCGTTATATTAAAAATTTTCTATAAATATTCCAATACACTGGTAATATTTTACAAAAAATCTTCTCACTTAAAGATTTCTTAAAGCATCTCTACTCGAAATACTTTTAGAATCTCATCATCGGATAAAATTTATTTTCTTCTCATTTTTATTACTTATATTTTTGATATTATTAATCAATTTTTATTTATTACTTAAAAAAAAAAGAAATTTTTA